GCCCTGGAAGGAGGACGCAGAAGCTGAACGGGGAGACGCCTGGCTGAGGACGGGAGGGAGCTGAGCTCCGGGCGCGGCAGAGCCGCTCCGGACAAAGCCGCTCGAGGCAAGTGCAAGTTTTCACCGCGGCACTGTCACCGGCGCCTTCTTCCTGGGTGGGGATGAAGAAGTACAGGAGAGAGATTTCAGCGCTCCTACCCAGGAGGACCATTTCGATAACACTGTTCTTCTCAGAGTCATGCAGGTCAAGAGCTTTGGACCCGGCCCGGGAATGTAGCTCAGCGGCACAGCGCCTGCCTGGCAAGCGCGAGGTCGTGAGTTCGGTTCCCGGTACTGGAAAAAAAAAGAACTTTGGACGTTCCGGTCGTACCAAATGCACCCACCTTGTGACCAAGACACTACCTCCTTCGACTCAGCAGGGGCCAAGAGAGTGCACAAAATACAAACTTCTTTAAACAAAAGCAGCAGGGGTACGTGATGCATTTGAACGACCGTCTGCCAAGAAGCGGAAAACTAGGTAAGATTCAGCCGCTTCTCCCAACTGTGGGACACAAGAGGGGTCTCAGCGTCTGGCCCTTGATCTTCCGTCTCCACTATGTCCATGGTCCCTGCGTGCGGCTGACTGCACTGACTGGCGTGCTTGCGTCCCTGGGTGGCTCCGGTTTTGAAGGTGCTTTTTGAGATTTGGACTCATACTCGGAAACTAATTAAAAAAAAAAAAAAAAAAAAAAAAAGCACTCTCCAGATAGGATTAGAGGCTTCCCACTTGAAACCATTTCTGAGAAATCCTAGATTTCTCCATGATGACTTCCCATATTTACTTAGGATTGTTAGGAGTTTCTTTTTACAGCCCAATAGCTGGGGTCAGAAATGAGGGCACATAAATGGACGACGTGATACTTCTACCTTAGGTTTAGGAGGCGTATTATCAGGAAATTTAAGCTATTTGAAACCTGTTTTGCATTTTTTGTTGGAGTCAACTATTCTAAGGAAACATGTTTTTGATCCACTTACGTGTGTGTCAAGAAATAAAAGAATTACACACCTGCAAAAAAAAGAAAAGAAATCACTGTTCGGCTTCATCAGTCCTCTCGTATCAGGATCCGTCTTAGTAATCGACGGCATGTCATGGGTTTCATTGGCAGCATTCTCCCACTTAGCGGTACTTTTTAAAAAACATTATGTCTCTCGTAATGAATATACAATGAAATGTGGTGGGCGTGTTTAAGTCGCTGTGAATGTAAATGAAACGTGTGCTGGGCCGCTGCCCGTTGCCTTCCGAGTTCCACTTCCCTTCTGTCAGTGGGTTAGGTCTAGAATGCTCCTCCCCGCAGTCCTCATGTTAAGAGGGGGGCCCGCCTGGAAGGGGCGGGTCACTGGGCCACGAGTCGGAGAGACACATCTCCCTCCCTTCTTCCTCCCTTTCTCTGCTTCCTGGCCGCCATAGCATGAGCCGCTCTCCGCTGCCCAGGTTCCCCCACGTTCTGTTTCTGCCTTGGATCTAGCCAGCTACCGACTGAATCTTCTAAAAACCCTGAGCCAAAATAAACCTGTCCTCCTTTAAATTACAGATACCGGGCATAGTGTCCCAGGCCTGACAGAGTGACGGACACACCCTCTCCGTCTTGCTGGGGACCCTGGGGAGCTTGGGTGTATGCGCCATCCAGGCTCCCTCGGCATCTGGCCAATGGGAAGCGCGGGCAGGAGAGCTGGAGGGTCGGAGGGAGGTGACGTGGGAAGCGCGGGCAGGAGAGCTGGAGGGCTGGAGGGAGGTGACGTGGGAAGCGCGGGCAGGAGAGCTGGAGGGCTGGAGGGAGGTGACGTGGAATGTGCATTCCCTCTCCTCACTCCTCGCCCGGTGGATCGCTGCCGTTCGCTGGGCACCGTTGAATAGCAAGGCTGCTGTCCATCGGCCGTTCCTCTGAAGGCGTTCGCTTGCCCCTGCAGAGCTGGGGCCTTGTCTCTCAGGTGTTACCAGCCCAAAGGCCTGTACCATCTCTGGCTGCTTCTCTAAATGATGTCCATAAGCCCGTTATGAACGTCTCCTCAAATTTCTCACTTAAGAAGGTCATCTGTTTCTACTAGGACTTAACCTCAAACTAAGTCCTTTAGCCCTGGCCTCTCATCTGCAGCAATGTCCAGGTAGGTAGAGAGCTTGTTAGAACTGTGGACTCACGAGTGCCTCCAGACCAGCTGAAACAGAACTTCCACCTGAAGAGCATTCCAGATGACTCACATGCACACTGACGTTTGAAAAACACTGGTTTAACACATCAGAGCATACAATCAAATCTAGCAGCAGCATGTTAATGCCTTATTAAGAAACTATTATCTGGTCCTCACTGTCCACTGGGGGATGCTTCTTCATCTCCGCTTACATCATTTGAGCCAAAAAGAAAATACAAACACTAAAATGAAAATATTCTTATTTAGCAAGTCTATAGAATCTTATGCAAAAAGTTAACTCCCATCTTCAACATTACTTTTTAAAATCTGTATCATATTTAGAGGAAAGGCTGCTCACAGATGTAGTTATAGATAATGACTAGGTCCATTTATGCCAAACATCATTTAAAAAAGAAAAAAAATAGAGCTAACTGGATGAGAAGCTTTGCCATCCTGCATGTAAGTGTCGGTAATCGGAGCCTCGTTTGTCAGCACTGGGCTGCCTGCATGGATTTTTCCACCCTGCAAACTGGAAGTCTGGGATGAAGAATGAAGAAATAATTGGACACAAGATCTCTCTGGGTAAAAGAAAGAGAACATTCAGTCAATTTAAGAACACAGTCCTCAATAACTTTTGACACTTATCCAGTGCAGAAAGCAAGGCGGAATCTGGTGGGGAGGGTTGGAACCCCATGAATTTGCTGATCTGTTTAAAGCACCTCACACATTCTGCAAGGGGCAAATCAGATGTGCCACGCACTCACATAGCCTTCAAGGCTTCCGTCCTGGCTGAAGACATGTACGGGAACGCGGGTTCAGTTATTCGTCCTCCTTACCATAGAAGATTACCTCACTGTGCACCAGGTGTTCTTGAAAAATACTCTAAAATTTCCCTATATTAAAGGAGAGATGTTTGATTTATAGCTTAGGTTTAAACATATAATGAGACTTTCCATTCTGAGTGCTCTCATGTACCCAAACTAATAATAACCTCAGGTTGTCAGCGTGAGGGAAACCCTACCTGGGCGGATATTCTGTAGAGTTTGTGTCAGCCTGTTTCTCCCTGCTCAGATTTTCTGGGGAATGTAGTTCATGGGTTCTGCGAGAGGTCTGGCTAACGGCGACTGACCTTATTTTGAGTGTGTTAAACTAACACCTTACTTCTTTCTTCGCCTAGTTGATAGAGTGCAAGAAAATAAACCCGAGGCTTCAAACCCTGGGCGGCCACTAACAGTCATGTGTTGGAAGGCACATGGTATGGATAGGAAAGCACAAGGACAGCAGGCAGCTCTGGGTTCAAATTGCGACTCTAGTGTATTAGCTGTTCTACCTGTGACAAATCTGGTACACCTGCTAGGAATCCCATCCCCAGAGTGCTTGAATAAGAGCCATTTCTTGGAATTGGGTATGAGTAGTGTTCTTGCCGATGCCTTTGTCCTCTAGCCACTTGGAGCTCTTTCCCCAGGCTTGGTCAAGAAATTATTCCCATCCCTTTCTAGTCTCATGGTTTTCAAGAACAAGACACCATAGCAGGTGCTAAAGAACAGACTCTGGTGTCCAGTCCCAGCTCTGCCGTTTACTGGCTGGGTAAAGGGACCGTTTGCCCTAGTTTTGTCAGTGGAGCGCTGATTGTTACTACCTACAGGGTTGTTGTGAGAATTAAATGACCAGTACATTTAAAAAGCACTTAGAACATTGCCTGGCAAATAAAAGAGGGCCATTTATTTTAGTTATGATGAGGATGATTAGGTTCATTAAAGACAGATTGTCCAATAAATATCTGACACACTGAAATTTAGCATTCCTGGTTCTTTACTAAATGTCTTTTTAAAATATTGATTGATATTTTTACTAGGTACCTATTGTGTATTCACTGTAAAAATGTGTCAAATATAGCACTGTTAGCACTTCAATGTATTGCTTTCAAGTCTTTTTTCCTCTGAACATGTTTGTGAAATGTGCATATGTGTGTCTATTATACTGAAGACCATTTATGTATTTTTTCTATATAACTGTTAAAATATATAAATACATGTATTTATGCCAAACATATACTGTCATTTACTATAAGTATATTGGTATAATATATATTTATTATTTGTTATATTTGTTAATGTAAGTATATATTGCACATTTATGTTTTATTATATATTTATGCTATTTTATCTCATTCAACTTGTAAATTGGCATTAATATATATTCATTATGTGTTAACAAAGAAATATAAATTATATCAAGTATATTTACTCATCTATTACAGTGTCTTTATGTACATTTTTGCAAAATTGAAATCATAAAATTAGATTTCCATATACTGTTTTTTATTAAACTTAATGTCATAACTATACCCCCCATCAGTAAATACTCTTTGAAAACATAATTCTTAATGGCTGTAAAATATCACATTACACGGACGCCACAGTGTATTACACCATCTCCTGTCTCCCTTTTTCGTCATGCTTTTTGCTATTTCCAATTACTCCTCATAAACAGTAATGCTTTGATGAATGGTCTTTTACATAAATTTTTATGCACTGACTTCCTCTTTCAGTCAAGATGGAGTAACTATGACCAGATTTCTATTTCCACATCAAACAACTAAAGTAATCAGAAAGAATATGAAACAATAGTTTCCAACATTGGACAGCAGGCGGCCTGGTCCAGGGTTCTGGACTCTCAGAGGATCTCTGAGTGCCCTTTTTGCCTGAAGGAGATTCCAGACTACATCCCAGGAGGAGAGACTCCAGGTGGAGCCAGTGGTTGGAGAGAGGAGCGTGAGACTTTTGAGAGGCTCGGTGTCAGGAGTGTGCAGGGCGGTGTGAGAAAGGTGTGAGCTGAATGGCCTCGCGGTACCTGCGGTATAGGAAAGACTGTTCAAAGGCAATTGCCCCCTCCACTGTGGGCATAACTGGCTCTAGGCTAAAGGCTCCCTGCATCTAGGCTAACAAAGTCTACAAGCAAGACGTGAAAATGCAAACTTGTTCCAAGGATCTTAGCTGCATCGCTTGGTAGTATTCTTCTATAGGTAAATCAGGAGGGTGAATCCTAGAGGAATGCCATACACCATTACAAAATCTCCATAGGAGTTTAAGGAGAAGCGTTTCACAGAACACTTTGGTCCAGTGGCTATTTTAGTTCCATCAATATTCATTCACTCATTCGTTCATTCAAACATAGAAGGAGCACACATTACGTGCATGATCTTCTGTGCATTCTTAAACCACCAGCGGAGTCGCCTCCTCTGCATAGTCTGTTCACAGAGCTGATGTGGAACCACAGTTTGATGAACGAGAAGATGACCCAATTCTGCAGCACCACCTGGCCAGCCTTCCTGGAAAGTGCCTATGAAGAAGAAATAGAAAAGCACCTGCTGAGCATGTCAGCCTGGTTTCCAAAGGCACAGTCAAATTGAACTTCCTCTGATGGGTGATGTGATTTGTGCTAAAACCAAAGGATGTCGTGGTGGAGAATACCGTGACAAGAGAGACTGGCACCCTGCGTCCAAACTAGAACGCATCAGGAGTTCTGTTTCTACTCTTGGACTACACACCAGATGAATGGACTGTCTGTGGAGTGCTGAATTTCTCCCATTTTCTTCATTCCAAAATTGGCTATTGGATGGCTTCAATTTAAGACAATTTTCAAGCAATGATTGCAGCAAACTAGAATCTAATTGGGGGAAAGTAATTTCTGGCAAAATCCCAAGACGAAAGATTTTCTATCTGAGGAAATTACACACTGAGGCCGCCAACTCAGAACGGAAAGTGTATTGCACGAGACACAGCTCGGCTATTGTTCATGCCTATGGTCTGCACATACTTCATGAGAAGCCACACACGACAGGGCAGACCACACTGAGGCTTATTCTGAAGTGTCTCAAGACCCAAGGACGAGATATTTGTCCCTTGTTTGAAAAAAAATTAGTGATATCTAATCCATTTCCCACTTGAGAAACCTAGCACTCATTGTGCCTTTGTATAAATTGCTCCCACCCTGGAGCGATTTAACTAACTAGTCTGACTTCTCGAAATCTATCCAAATGCTTCTTGACACTCATTTATCCAAAAGCTTTTGCTCTTTGCTGCAGCTCTCTTGAACCTTCCTCTTTTCTAAATGCCTGCAAGCCTTAAAACCCTTATACTCTTAATGAGCTCTGGTCTCAAAAGGAGCATTCATCGATTTCCAAGCGTTGCCAGAGAGTCCCAGAGAGAAACGCCACGTTTTGTGTTCCTCTCAAGTTTGCCTCATCATTTACTACAGCAACAGATTTAGCTCAGGGGCCGATTCCTCCATAGTGAGTTCTCCGACAGACTCTCTGCTCTCAGTCCTTTCTCAGAACCTACCATGATGTGTGGGGACCTTTTCTTTCTCAATCAATAAGGAAAAGTTCCTTGAGCACTGAGATCATGTCTAGGATGCAGTCATAGTCCCATGAAATGGTGCAAAGCAAAAGCTCTCTGAATACCTGCAGAAGGAGAACAAGAACAGATGTGTGTACAGGTGAATGAGTCGGTTCTAAATGCTCACGTCTACTTCATGATCAATTTCACTGACTCTGGAATAAGAGAGCAGAAAAGGGGTTGTTTTCCTTTATGCTTAATGAAAGCTGAATAGAATAGGTAACTTGGGTCATTTTTAGTAAGCCAGCGTTGGGGAGAAATGAGAAACAAAAGCAGCCACAGGCATGTTAAGCCTTGTTCATACCCAAATATAGCATCAGTTCTGTCAGCATACCAATCTGTGTCCTCTGACAATTGAACACAACTCTTTTCCTCCTTTCATCTCCCAGGAACACATCTCCATCACCCGGGAGGGAAATCCAGCCTCCTACCCCCATGTCATCTGGGTGGATTAGGCTAGAAATGTCCTGTGGCAGTGACTCATTGCCCCACCTACCACCTTCTACTGTGGTCAGCCAAAAATAGTGCCACTGTGCCTTGCAGCAAGATGATCAAATAGCTAGGCTAGTAAAGGCAGTGGTGAAGTGTGCACAGGGTCTGATGGACTCTAGAGCTCCAAATCCCATCCCCCTTGCTTCATTGTGAACATATCTTAAACTATTACTTGGTTACGAAAGGAGTATCCAGTGCTCAGGGTTTACTTAGGCTGAAGAGTAAGCCCATCTTCTGAGCCCAAGGGTGTAGTGTTTGACAGTTCACTCATATACCATATTGCTACGTACTCCAATGTATAGCTGGTGAAAGTAAAAGAAAAGGAATTTGTTTCTTAAATTATTCAATGTGTAGGAACTATGCAACAAGATTCAACTGCTGGAGTAAGCACAAAACGAAAATAGGGGCTCCTTGCTCAAAAACTCTTGAGAATTTCAAGACAGTAGTGTCACAAGGCTCGTTTAGGCATGGATCTCTGTGTAGATGCATGGGTCATCTGTCCATGAAACCAGGTTTGGTTCTGAGGACCAAAGTGCCCTGTATATCAGTTGACCCCCTCCGTGGCCCCACCTCATAACACTACCAACTTTGAGGTTAGATTTCAACATAAGAATTTTGAGGGGACCTGAGCATTCAGACCAAAGTTTATTGATTTTTCTTCTCAGAACAAAACTGAAAGATATAATTTCCCCATTATTCAGATAACAAAACTAAGTCTCAGGTTAATTAAATAACTTGTCCAAGTAAAAGGTACAAGTAATCAAGATCATGGACTTAGAATCAGGCAGATCTAAATTCCCACATCACAATTAAACTTAAATGCATGGGGTATTAGAAAAATTACTAAACTTCTCCGTATCATATTTTCTTCCATTGTGCAATGGAAAATGTACAGTCTCACAGGGTCATTTGTGGATTGAGATGATGCCAGTAAAGTGCTTAGTATAGGGCAAACAATAAACGAGAGTAATCATTAAAGTCACATGTGTCATAAGGAGTGATTGAATTTATTCTCCTCTAAAGACAACATCGGTATTTTTAACTTTCACTTAGAAAATAAGTGGATTAAGAAAAATTAGAACATGAACTATGGTCGAATTGAGTTTGAGGCTAGAACAAGAAATTATTAGTACAAATATTGAAGACAGTACTCACAAAGTATAATACTAACTGGTATTCCGAAAATGCCACACCTAACTAGTCAGAACCTTCCATTCTTTTCTTTCCCTGATTATTAGGCTTAAAACATGAAGAGTGTCTTTAGCACAAAGGATAGTATGAAGTGTGGTCTTATGGATTTACTTTCAAGAAGATAATAGCCTAATACTTTAAAACCATCCTTTGCACATGTGCGTTCCATTGTAATTTTCCTCCCAGTACGTCTTCTGGTCATCTGTTCTTCCTCTTGATTTACCCTGTTTGGCAAAATGCCCTGGATACAGAAGGCAAGAGGATGTCGTGGTTTTTATAATAGTAAGCAAAGGCATTCAGACTAGAATATTTTCAAGGTTCTCACAGGCTTGAAAAAAGATTGCAATTCTGTACTGCCAACCTGTAGAGAAAAAAAGATACGTGTTACTTTCATTAAAAGCAAAGGTCCTTAGGTTTTTATTTCTTCATGATATAGAACTTCTCATCATAACATTTTTGTGTACAAAAGAATAGAGGAAAAAAATTTAAACATCCAAATTTCTACTCCCACAGCCAACTACATTTTGGTGCCTTTCTTCAAGAGCCGTATTGCCACTAAATCTATCCCTGCGTCTTACACCTGACCCCTACCCTCTTCCTTTGTCACAAACCTAATGCTTTTGTGCCAGTTTTCATTCACTCCCCCCCACTCCCACTTCTCATGTGGTATGGCTCAGTTCTAAAACCTGACTACCCACAGGTACACTGTATACTAGAAATCTCATAATTCTCTCACTCCATAAAAGTTTAACATGCTCTAGGCTCTCTTTCTTAGGGTCATAGACCTCTGCCTAAGCTGATCTGGTAACAAACCAGCTTATTTTTGGTAATAATACTCCACAGAGTTCTTAGCACTTTCAGAAGAGAAGTTAAAAGACAGGAACTGTGAGTGACCCAAGGGAAGATCTGTTTACTGAAAATAAGACCATCAAATACATTTAAAAAAACATATACTGAACACACCTGGAAGCAGAATCACCATGTGGTAGAGAGAACACAGATCTAGAATCAAATCCAACCATTCACTAGTGGGCAACTACCTTCATCTCTGACCCCCAGTGAAGTGCTAAGAACAATTTTATAAGTTTTTCATAAGGTTTTCATGGATAACCAGTGTAAAAAGCCCAATCCATAGAGTTCCTTTAAAAGCACCAGCATGATGTGCTATGAGATTATTAAAAAATGAATTAGACATGAGTTTTGTCCTCAGGGAACTCACTATTTGAGCCAATAAACATACATAATACTCAGTTTTTTAAACTCTATTGAAATGTGGCTCCAAATGCCTATTTAACAATTGCAAAAACTGAAATCCAGAGAAGGGGTATGATTTGACAAGAGCCAAACCAGCAGGAAATGACAAAGCCAGAATTTGAAGCCTTGTCTGCCTAACTGTACTTATTTTTAAGCCTATTTCTGAGACTTTCTCTGAACACTAGTAACATCATCTTCATGAAGCAAAATCATAGGTCCTGTTTTGAAATTTTGTCTAGAATGTAAATCATTACCTAGCACATGCAGAAGGTAGGAGTTGTGGCAAGAGATCTGTTGTCTCAAATTTAGATTTCTAATGTTGTTCATATGAGCTATATCTGCAGTCACAGAGACACAAGACGATTTAAAACTAGTCTAATTATTAGCTTGCACACTCTTACACATTAATAGTTGGTGTTTTCTTATAAATCAAATGAATATTGTGTTAATATTATAGTGTATTTTCTGAATATTAGAAATAATTTATTCTATTTAAAGATTTTAAATGTATCACAATAATAGATCTAATTCATCCCTTGACTGTTTTATTCTGAGAGCCTCAGAAAAATGGGGAAGGCTATGCCTCACCTTTAGCACTCCAGTTTTCAGCACGGCCCCAGCAGAAAGGGGCTCACACCATTTCACGCAGGCAGGGCCTTGCTCCTTTCCTCGAGCCTACATAGCTTCTTTACAGCACTATACCATGTGCAAGAGAACTGCGCCAGGTCAGGGCTGGTACCACCAATAGCCAGCCAAGAGCTCCTGAGTCAAGGCCGTAGACTGATTCATCGGGCCACGTAGTCTCCATAGCCCCAAGAGAGGTGAGCCGGGTGATGTCCTTAACAGAAATTTCCTACAACACCTGTCTGGAAGTTTGAAATAGACTCACTTCCATCATCAGTCTTTCATGTTGCATTACTTACATCTTTCTTTTCAAAACATTATGAAATATTTTATACATAAAGAGGAATATAAAACACAAACAGATAAACAGCAACAAGACAGACATCTGGTTTTTTTGTTTTTTGTTTTTTGTTTTTTGTGTTTTTAGTACTGGGAATCAAATTCAGGTTTTTTTTGTCTTTTTCTGGTACCGGGAATTGAGCTCACAACCTTGTGCTTGCCAGGCAGGCGCTGTGCCGCTGAGCTAAATCCGCAGCCCTGGGAATCGAATTCAGGACCTTACACTTGCCAGGCAGGTGCTTATGCCACTGAGCTATATCCCCAGCCCCAAGACAGATATGTGTTTACCATCACTCAGTTTAACAATAAAGCATAATAAATACCTTTTTAAAATGTGCCCCTTACCTCTGTGCACCTTGCTTACCTTACAGAGAGAGCCATCATGTTGATCGTGTGTCCTTAGTACATGCCTTTCTTCCTAACATTGTCAGCTACCTATGCATCATTTTTTTTTTTTTTTTGGTACTGGGAATGAAACTCAGGACCTTGCACTTGCCAGACAGGCACTGTGCCACTGAGCTGTATCTCCGGCCCTATCTGTACATCTTTGATGATTTACTTTTTAAAGTTTACCCGTTTATAGGCTTGATGTAAGTGGAATCACGTTGGCTATTTCTCCTAGAATGTCTTTGGCACAACACTGTAGTTTTGAGATTTATTCATGTTGAGGGATGTGCTGTAGTTTCTCATGCATTATAGCACAATTCACGTAGCATTCTACTATTGGATCCTGCTATAGTTCGGATCCGAAAAGAGCCCCAAAGTTGGTCCCCAGCTTGGCACTATGGGAAGGTAGTGGGGACTCTAAGATCCAGGCCCAATGAGCAGTTTTCAATAATGAGGGGCAGGCCCTCCAGGGGGACTGTGGGATTCCAGTGCCTCCATCTCCTCAGTTTTCAATTCCCAGCTATCACTGGGTGAGATGCTTTGGTCCCCCATGTGCTCCCTGCCATGGTCTGCTGTCTCATCACAGGTCCGAAAGCAACAGGCCCGCTTGATCGTACACTAGAACCTTCAGAGCTATGAGCCAAAAGAAATCCTTCCTCTAAGTCACTTCATCTCAGGTATTTTTGCAGTTAAAGAACACTGACTAACACAGACCTGCAGGTTTTTTCCTATTTTTTTGCATAACAAAATACAGTTTCTGGGATGATGTGTCCAGTTATACAGACTTGCCTAAATTTGAGTACCTTGCATTATATACATTTACTTTATCGAAACATACCTCACCAAAGTGACGTGACCTGTCCACATCTACCAACTTGCCAACTCTGTATGAGGGTTCTTGTTATTCTGCATCCATTTCAACTTTTAATATTGACTGAATCTTTAATTTTTATCAAGACACTGGTGTTAAAACCTATTGCTCTGTCACTTCAGTTTGTAATACCTTGATTAGGTTAAGCATCTCTTCATATGTGTGTGAAAACATTTTCGTGTCTTTGAAAATTTTATCATGCCTTGAACCATTTTTCTGTCATGCTACTCATCTCCTAATTATCATGTGGAAATTCTTTCTAGTTCATTCAGTTGATTACCGATGCAGTCAACCACAAGATTAACTTTCTGAAGAGACATTCACCAGGCATGCTTACACAATCATCCCTAAATTCTTCTCAGAATTCAGTAAGGAAAAAGTTTTAAAATACATTTGAATACAACTGAACAAACTCTTTCTCAGTCCAAATTCAGGGAATGTGCTGGAAAGGGGAAGTCTTAGGGATCAAAAGTTTTCAAAAAGAATCTTCAAAGAGGACTTGAGTTCGTCTGCTGCTTGTCGTTGTCTTTTTGGTCTGACAGCCCAGCTGAATGCATGTACTCTAGGTTCACGCAAGTTCTTAGTTCCCCTAATTACACCAGTTCTAAACTGTAGACAGAAACAGAAATACTGTGGGAGAGGACAAGGAGAATGTGGGGCAAAAGGCAGGGAACTGCACTGGAGTTGCCTCTATCTGTAGGGTATATCATATTTTTAGGAAGAGGAGAGAAGAATGCATTCTGAACTGGTTTCAGTTACTTACATTACAGAGGGGATATTCATGCCTACAACAGCTTTCATGGGTTTTTCAGTTCACAAATTAAAACCAGACCAACCTTGATTTCATCTCTCATTTTTTTCTTCTGTAGATTTCACTTGCCTCCTCCTCCTTCCCTGCACCCCACCCTCACCCTTCTCTTAATGTCTTTAACAACGATTCTTGCTTCACCCACATTTTCTGCTTTCCCAGGAAATGTTTTCCATAGCTCAGGTTCCCTTTCTGCCAGAGGGAAGCTTTCCTCTCTCTCCTTCATCCCCTCATTCTAATCCTTTCAATTATCCAAGCCCCTGCCCAGAATCCCCAGTAAACATTCTGAAAGAATGAGAAGGCTCAGTCTTGTTGATTATTTTTTTTCTCAAGATCAGGAAACTTCAGTTTGAGTCTAACTTTTATTTTAAGAAAACATCCTTTTTGTATTAAGGCAATCATTTACATTTTTAGTCATTTTAACAACTGAGAGGACTCCTTAAAGTCATAAAACTTGTAAGCACAAAGTGCATCCAATTCTGGAGAGGAACTGATAGAAAAATGAAAACATTGCTCTCAGTCAGAGCTGGCTTCAGTCTCCAGGTCCATCTCTTCCCGGGGAGACCTCCCTCTGAGCCTGTTTCCTTCTCCGTAGCAGATTTAAAGTTCAGCTATGAGGTGGAGATGTTCGCTGAGATAACGTCAGAAAACACCAGTCGTGGCTGCAGTTGGGGTTCTAACTTAAGGTCAGAGATATTTATTAGCAGGAAAAGAGATGGGGGCAGGTTAGACGTACTTTTATGAAGGAGCACAAAGCATGCTATCTGGAGGGGAAGAAGCATCAGTTAGTTCAACATCAGGCAGTCAGCACAGAAATGAATGAACTACAGCCAGTTTTAGTCCCATGACAATTGGAGGAGGTTGTTATTATTCCACCATAATAATACTCTGTTTTTCCCCCACAGCAAAAAAGCTAATTTCTCCAAGGAACTGGAGATACTTATGAGAAGAGGAAACGGACACTATCGGGCTAAAAATCAGCTGATGCCTACTATGTAGGCGCTCCATGCCCATTCCCTTCCTTGCACCTTTTCATTTAGCTTGTCCCAAAAATATAATTTCTAGGATGATCCTTGGG